CACACCCCCGCTTGTCTCTAACACACACACACACACACACACACACACACACACACACACACACACACACACACACACACACATATCTCTCTCAGACCCTGATTGGCTGGCAGATTAAAGACATCTCCTGATTGGATGAGAGCTCTGTTACCCATGACAGCCTGGTCCAGACTGAAGTAGGCTACAGCCTTCAGGTGAAGCATGGACAGGTATCCCTGGAGCACAGAGGTCAGTGAAGACAGGGCATGAGAATTATAATATGATGCAATACTTTGTCAAGTCTTTCTGTGACGTGTTCCTACTCTGTGATTGGACGAACCTCCAGCCACTCAGTGGCTCCAACGTTCCCAAACTCTCCAGCATCCCAGCTGACGAACAGCAAACTCCGTCTGGGACTGAATCCTGAAAAATAAGTTTCTTTAGAGTGAACAATGCATGGTCCCTGTTACTGTCTGATGTGGAGGGAAATCTGCTGGATCCCTTAGGAGCCAAACAGGTGGAGATCAGGCGGAGCAGAGACACTCGGGCTGAGATGTTTCACCACTGACCTTTTCCATAGTAAACATCTGGGAACCAGAGGAGCTACAATCACCCACAGTAACTACTTCTTCTCAGGTGAAACCATCTGGTGTATATTCACGTGATGAAATTCTGGTTACTGTTGTCAGTCGCATGACCCTGTTGCTTCTTCTAGCTTCCAAACTATTACTTTGGAAATGCGGTAAACACGTAGTACACCATAGCAACCGCTGCAACAGCATATGGGGTGTTGACAGGTGACAAAACCCAGCAACCACATAGCAACACCTTAGAAGCAACATGGTGTAGAATTAGTTTGCAACCACCTGCTAATCACCTGCTAACACCCTATCATTAGTCATTTAGCAACAGTCTGGTGACACCTTAGCAACCAACCAGAATGCCCGAGCAACCATTTATTGACACCACAACAGTCAAAACAAAATCCTAGCAACCAGTGACCATCTAACAATTCCTGACTGACCAGCAACACAATCTAAAGGGCACCGCGCACAGATGCCATCACAGCTCATCATGTGACATGCGTCCCATGACTTCTGTAAACACATTGCAGGAGCAATGTGAGTTCAGTGCAAGAATACTGAAATTCAAGGTTCAAAGTGTGTATTCGTCATATGCACAGTTAGGAAACGTGTTTCCCTGTACAATGAAATTCTTACTTTGCCATCCACATGAATACCACAAAATACAAGTGAAATATAAAGTAGATAAATAAGTAACATGGGTGAAGTAAGTAAAATGGGTGACTGCTTCAGTATTTTATGCTTTTGATGTGCGTCAACGCCATGAAAATAGGATAATCGCCTTTATTGGCCAAGTATGTTACACACAAGGAATTTGTTTCCGGTACAGAACTGATTTCAGCCATCTGCGGCTGCCATCTCAGTGTCTTGCCCAAGGACACTTCAACACATGGACTACTCGCACCGAGATTCGAACCTTCAACCTTCTGGTTGGAGATAACTGCTCTACCAACCTCACCACTGTCGCACCACTGTCGCCCCGACAGTAGTTTAGGACAGTAGTATATCCTGAAGTGCCTCAGGTCGCTGCTGGTGTGTGGTGCCCTTAAGTGCATGTATTTTAGTGAGCTTACCTGTCTCCAGGTGAGTCTTACCGTTCTTCACCATAGCAGAGAAAGTTCGAGCCAGCTCCAGGAGGATCGCTGTTCCAACTCCAGACTTCACAGCTCCTGGACTCAGTGAGTCCCTCTGAGCTCCCAGTATGATGTACTGGTCTGACAAAGAGACAAAGAGATACAGCAGCAGACCATTATAACAGAGATACAGTATGCTCACCTGTCACCTCTGTCTGTCGGGGCTCAGAGTCTACCTGGCTCGACCCGGCCTTCCAGAGACGAGAAGATGTTGTTGAGCAGGACTGGCGTCATCACGTTGTGGACGGACATCTTGACTCTGCGTCCGGAGCTGAATTCTGGACCGACAACACAGCGTACGTACGGTAGCCGACCTCGCCATGATGGAGGACAGGACGGACCTGACAGCTGGCTGAGACACACAAACACAGTGAGGTCACAGTGACATCTGAGCAGGTAACTGAGGGGCAGGGCTCACCTGAGCAGCTTGGCGGCCACAGTGGCACTGATAGGCAGGGCTGGGATAAGGGGCAGGCCGGAGGACTGGATAGGCGGGAACTGAGTGTGATTGAAAGAGGGAAAGCCGGGGGTGAAGGGGTCACCTGAGCCCAGGTGGACCTGTGATTGGACAGAGGGAGATGCTGATTGGTCAGGGGCAGCCAGACATCAACATGCATGTCTAAAGATGAGTGTGTGTTACATGTTCGGACACAGTGGTGTGTGTGTTGAGTCCGAGGCGGCGGGGGTCCTGTGGCAGGTCAGCGGGATCAGGATAGATCAAAACTCCACCTGCCCCGTTCCTCTCAGCCAACCACACCTTCTCTGCAAAACTGACCCCGCCCCCAACACGCATCACCACCACACAGCCAGTCACAGATATGCCCGCACTCTTCAGCCAATTAAAATCCTCAGGACGGCCATAGTTGGCGTAGACCACACCCCCCTGCAGGGAAACAGATAGATGTAACTGGGTTGTGGTTTCCATGGTGACGAACACATCCTGTCTCTCTGTCTCACCGTGGTACTTCCTGCGGCGCTGTAAGGACAGAAGTCAGACGGGTTGAGAGGAATCTGCTCTGCGACCAGTCCAGCTGAGTCCACCAGCCACAGGGAGCTCCTCTGAGACCTGCAGACAAACAAACATATCTCGGATAAGGAGAGGGTGGGTCTGGAAAATGATGCTGCTTACTGTGGGGCCCTGAAGATTTATGACGGCCTGGCACCCCCTTCTTCGGGCCAAATAATGGCCAAACATCATTTAACTCATACACGCTCTCCCAGTCTACGGCACATTAAATTGTGTACTACTGACTGAGTGGACCCTGCTGTCAAACACTGATGTAAATGTTTGAAACGTCAGCTCCTCTTGATCCTGTCACGTATCATCATGTGGAATGAGTACGTCCTTGTTTTCCTGTTGATACGATGCCTCAAGTGTTTCCTTGTCATAATCTGATGATCGAATTGACAGTGTTTGTTTATTTCACTAATTGCAGTAGATGTCTGTGCGGAGCTGTCAGGTCCTCCAGGTGGCTGATGTCAGGTCACTGTCTCAGGAGGAGTTTCTGGGTCTTCTTCTTCTTCTTCTTTCGGCTGTTCCCATTAAGGGTCGCCATAGCGAATCATCTGTTTCCACCTAACTCTATCCTCTGAATCCTTTACTCTCACCCCAATTAACTTCATGTCCTCTTTTAGCACATCCATATATCTCCTCTTTGGCCTTCCTCTTGACCTCTTGCCTGGCAGCTCCATCTCCAACATCCTTCTACCAATATAACCACGGTCCCTCCTTTGCACATCTCTGACCTTGTCCCTAAAACAGCCGACCTGAGCTGTCCCTCTGATGTGCTCATTCCCAATCCTGTCTATCCTGGTCCCTCCTAAAGAGAACCTCAACATCCTCATTTCTGCTACCTCCATCTCTGCCTCTTGTCTTTTCCTCACTGCTACAGTCTCTAACCCATACAGCATAGCTGGTCTCACTACTGTCTTGTACACCTTTCCTTTGATTCTTG